TATCTAATTAAGCCTTCATGCATCTAAAGCTTAATATTTTGTTGCGACGCAATGGCAATTTCACAAAACCCCACCATTCACCTGTGTAAACCCTGTATGTGTCAGACAATGAGAAATATATTTCATGAATCGATACGTTCAATGGAGTTCCTCTGACTCCACAGAATAGAGATGTTCTTGAAAATATAATAGTAGTTCAACTAAAAATCACTAAATTATCCGCCTTTTATAAATCCGAAAATTTATTGATTTCATTACCACGTCGACAAGAGCTCGCCACTGAACACTAATTTTTGAAAATCCTGGAACAGAATCCTAAACAAATTAAATCCAGTCTTCACTCTCACAGTCACTTCTTTCAAGCGAATTTTAATATTATATTGTCATCTGCGACAACATCTCCAGACACTATATACGAACTCGTAGTCTGAGTTACTTATAGCATCGTTAAATAATGGCTACATCTCCCAAAGAGTTTCTTTTCCCTTCAGGTTTCCAGATGCACCTACGCATGAATTTGTATATATTTCTTGCGTCCTACAGGCCTCACCCATCACCTCTCACTTACGAAGCTGTTTGTAAGAAGGCACCAACATTTCTGAAGAACTTATCGCCTCCATCATCAGAGCACCCTATACGACATCACGACCCAAAAGACCACAATCCACATTTTTCTTGTAAGAAGGCACCAACATTTCGGAAGAACTTATCGCCTCCATCTTCAGAGCACCCTATACGACATCATGACCCAAAAGACCACAATCCACATTTTTACCGCCCTGAAAGTAAAAGTCTATGTATTAATAGCATATATAATCGTTTAAACCAGAACAAAATAAATGGACTTACACCCTTTTTGCATCGCGGCGGGGAAATATTCTGTCCGGAAAATAAATGTAGCTACATTATCCTTCAGGTCCGTAGAGCATACAACTCATTTTTAAAAGTGAGAATGTTACAAAACTCATATTACTCACTTCGTTTGTACCCAGCTTACAGCAGGAGTTTTTCGGGACAGGTACTGAACATCAATAAACGTTTCTTGTGACTTCCACAACAAAGATTCTGCAGTTAGCTTTCTAATCGATGAAACTGTCAGTGTATGCACCGTATTTAAATTACTACAGAGTCAATGTAAAGTCGAATTCTTTTTTGGAACATAAGAAAATGTAGTTGCTTAATCACCAACGACAACAAACCGTGTGTAGACAGATCGAGAAACCGGTCGAGATTTCACGCACTTGAAATCGATAGAGGAAACTCGAAACGAAAGGTGTACGTGAAGTGTTTTGCATGCAGTCGCGCAACAAAAAGTGCTCTCAACTTGTAAGTGGGCGTTTTGAACCAAACTACTGTAGATATTTGCACAGGATCAAGACTGGTCCCGCTTATTACACTAGGGGGAATATTTATTTCCTGTTTTCATTCCAGAACAACAAAACCTTTTGAATTTTGCATCCACAATATTTTCAAATACTGAACTGCAGCAGGCAGAAAACACTCGCTGTTTGTACGTTTCACGGTTCCTACCAGGATTTCCGTCTGACAGCGTTTCACGGTTCCATACCAGGGGATAGCAAATCATGCCGAACCGCGGGCACAACATATAATTGATCTCGCCTACTTCTTAATGTATTCTATCAGAAATAAAAAAAGAAAAGTTTTCTGATTCATTAACTGTCTGTGATAATGATTCGTTCATTCATTAAATAAAAAAAAACTATTTTGGACATTATCAATTATCTGAGGTAAATTTTGTATAAATGACGTTTCGGGAGCTGGTTCTGCAGTAAATACCCTATAAAATGGTGAATAGATGGAATAATAATAATAATTACATAGAGTACAATATATCTTCGCCCAATAGGTGTTGATTAACAAATACTGGTTTAATCGCTTTCCCACTGTCTTCACATCCACCTCTCTACTGCGTCGGTGCATACACTCACCAAAATATCCCTAATCACGTTTTTTTTCGCGTTCTGTTTCGAAGTGTATCCGACACCTGTTTCCATGGGACAAATTGCCCCGTTAATGAGATTCACCGCAGCGAAGCGCCACTATCGGAGCCGCGTAATTGCCTAAATAAAATCAATTTGCGTTGCGGTGTGCGGAAGAAGTTGACTGAGAGCAGTTGTTCGCGCCTCTGGGTGCTACCAAACCACCTCGTTATGTAGAGAAGAAGATGCGCCCTACGTCAAACATTAGAAGAACGCCAATATTTCTATTAGTCTCACTGTGCACGTGTGGTCCCCTAATATTTGCGGAGTGATGGTGTATAGTTTATAGCTCCATGGAGTAGTCTTTCCTGAGAAGGTAATAGAGGATTAACTAGTCCGGAAATATGCTGTTTTTCTGGAAAAAGCAAGTTCATTATCGTATTCACCACAGCCCGTCGCTAGATCCTACCCTGACCCCAGATCACAGTCTCACAATACATACAGATGAATATGGTCTATATCAGTGGTATTCAACCTAGGGTACGCGTACCCCCGGGGGTACACGAATATCATCTCAACCTACATTCTAAAATCAATTTTAATATTAGCCTCCCACATACACCTAGCTGTTTCAAGTTTCCCCACACCTTCATGTATTTCGACTAAAATTTATAGGCGTTTGTTATCTGTCCCTTGTATGTCACATAACCCACAACCTCATCCACTCTGACCACCCTAATAATATGTGGTGAAACTCCACGTGTACAGTTATATCTAGCGCCCTGAAAGACATCCTCCTGTTACGTTAATATACTTCTCTTAATCGTAACAAATTCATTTACAATTAATTTCAGACTAAAACCAAAATCACGTACTTTATAATTTCACTACCTATCCCATTTGCACATACATTTATTCTTAAACGTAGGTCAGCAACCATGATCTAGACCAATGATATATATATATATATATATATATATATATGCACGTCGGTCGATGCCCCCACCCCATCCGAATGGTGAAAGCAGAGTAATTTTTAAAATCCCGGTTCTTCCGAGGGCTAGTGTATCTGACAAATTATATCGCACGCCTCCTGCATAATTCTTAATTAAATATATTTACAATGCGGAGAATGATAACATATCTTCTATCTTGATACCGCATGGCGGCTGAAATGTTACATTGTAAATAAACACACTTTATCGTGCTAATAGCAGTCTAAGTATAGATTGACAGTCGTACGGCGTGAGACAGACATGATACCATCCTACGTAAAACCCCAGTAGTACTGTTTTACTTGCTCGTGAATCAGAAAGCGTTGAAACCGATTGGTTAAATCACTTCCGACTGTCAGTTCGTCCCATTTCGTGCGGAAGCGCCATTTCTAAATAAAGAGCGTATCTGGGATGTACGCTACATACTGAAACATTGCAAGGAATTCCTTTGATGCAAATGGCTGTCTTCTGGGATGTCGTGCCGTGTAGCCTGCTAAATATTGATTGAGGCAGTAAGCACCTCTGAAACGTTGGTCAATATCTACAAGACCACGCGGCGCAACATCCCACAAGACAACTGTATTTAAACTCGTCGCAGTGAGAACCTGAAATCTCACCAATTCCTATCATAGTTTCCTGTATTCCGTTATGAATTACATTTTTTCGACTCGCATTCTTTTGTGGTTAAAATTACTTTAATAACTTGCGTGTCTGTAATATTAAGTTCTTAATAGGGACCGATGAGCCTCCTCTACAATGGGTACCGGGGTACTTTCCCGGGGGTAAAGCCGGCCGGGGCGTGATGCTTACCACTCACCCCCATCTAGTGCCGAGGTCAAGGAAGAGAGGAGCTATACCTCCACTCACCCCAAACGCCTACATGGCGTATAGTGGGACAAACTTTACTTTACTTTACTTTAATAGGGACCGATGAGAATCATGTCCAGATGTCAACAGAAAAGCTATAATAACTCTCATATATTAAGAGGAACACGACTTATGCGCCCATATGAAAGAGTACAAATACTGAATGACGCGAATTTGTAATCAAAATCATGTCACCTTAACATGGTCCTACTTCCTGAGGATATATAGGATAATAGTTATGATTATAAAGAAGTGTTAAAAACTAAAAACGCTCTGCATATTTTTATCTTACTCTAGAACTGCGACAGAATTTTAACATCGAGAACAGATAATCGAATTTTAGGGACCTCCAAAACACGACGCAGACCTAATGATTTCAGAACTGAGTCAACATTTTGCACGTATTGTTACTAATGATCTTATGCCTGAGCACAATTTTAAATGTCACATATTAGTTAACGCCGAGATACATCTTGACGCAGAACTGAATAACGATGAAGATGGCTGTCTTCTGGGAAGTTGCACTTGTAGTCTATGACATACTGACTGACATTTCAGAGGAGCTTACTGACTTCATCATCACGCTGATCAAACTTCCGAAAAGCTGTGGTTTTGACGACGCCTAGACGATAGATGAAGTAAAAGAAATCAAGATAATGGGTTAATTAAATATTTGAAGATTTCTGTCTTCTGTGTTGGTGAACATCTACCTCAAATCCTACAATTAAATATTTGTTTTTTTAACACAATAGTTAGCCTGTAGTCATTAAGATATTTTCGAAATAAATCAGGACTGGCATCAGGTAGATCCCGAATCAATTCAGTCGCAGTGTTACGCAGAATGCGCGCTTACAAGACTGCTGTACTCCCGTGGCTAAGCACCCGACTGTGACACAAATAATGAACGTGAATGTGAAACTTCCTGAACCCTGTACAAGATGGAGTGAATGATGTTTCATGCTACGATCGGTTTTAATCCAAGAAGATTTCAGACTACTCATTCTGTAGGAGGAATGGTGGGTCCAAAATCGAATGTATACGCGCTGACAACGAGAAAACATTTGCCTATGTTGGAAATTTAACCAACATCTTCCAGCTCACAGTCATTCACTTCATTATCAAGAGTTATTGCAGCTGTTTAATAAAACTGTAGTCTTTTTACATCTTTAAAACTAGAAAGGAAACTAACTTACGCCATGCGGGCTGAAAGTGTGGTATTCAAGAGGCTTATCACGCTTTAAAACTGCGCTTCTCTGAAACAGAAAACATAGTGCAATAAATTGTTTTCTCGAGAGGCCATTTTGTATTAAAGCAAATGGAGGTGATTTTTTTTACAAGGCAATTACATGTGCGTCGTAAGCTGGGCACAGTAACAGCGGTCACTTGCGTCCTACCTGGGGGACTAATCTTATTTTCTGTTTCGAGAAACAGACTACAATAAGGTGCATACTGTCTGTAAACTGTATGGCCGTCTCAACCTTACGGACACTACACAGGTCGACCACAGCTGAACAGCAGAGCACTTGAGACAAAGACACTACACAGGTGGACCCCAGCTGAACAGCAGAGCACTTGAGACAAATCGGTCGTGGACATGACTGAGGAATACAAAGTGCATATATGAGATTTCAGGTCGTCAAGCCAGCGAGTATGAAGATGCTTGTCTGTGACGTTGCGCCGTGTAATCTCGTAGAAATCTGTCGACGTTTCAGAAGCGTTAACCACCTCTATCATCAGGGACTCACTGCCCCGATGATGGAGAACGTAAATTTCTGCTAGATTACACGGCGCAACATCCCAGAAGACAGACATCTTGAAAATCGCGTATCACCTCCAGGGAACGGAAATATTCTACTCAGTTCGTCAGGCTATCTGGTTTCACTTTCATGAAACAGATGACAGCGCACAAATGGCTGCTGCTTATTGTGACTTTTTTAATTAAACCGCCCTACATATTTAATAACATCAAGCAAAATCGACTAAATACACAGCATATCACTAGCAGACATGCTTCATTAAAGTCGTTTTAATTTTGACGGTCGTTATCTAACTAGTAACACATCAAAGGTGACAATCTTATATACTTAGCAAAAATATATTAACTTAAGCGGTGGATGAAACTTTTCTGAAATGCGTTCTGATCTACATCATGCTTACTTTAATAACCATAGATTACGTCTGTATACAAAGTGAAACATTTGCTATTCAATTTGAACGAAGTTACATTGCCTCGATACTTTTTATTAACGTCTATAAATAATGAATTTAAACAAAACTCATCATGCAGAGTATTATTGTAGGCAATCTGACGCTTCTTAAAGAGTTTTAATATTTTTTGTTTTAATAAACACTGGTTAGATCAAAATTATTTCACGTAATACATTAAAATGTTAGCAGCTAGTACGAAGAAATTATATAAACCCACGTTTCTTAATAAAATACTTTGTCAATAAAATGACCATCAAATGCTGGAAATAACTTCAGGAATAATTGTTTTCTTTTCGTCCAAAAGTAATCAATATTTTAGGCGACCTCCAGGTAATATAAAGACGCTGCTAAAATAATGAAGAAGCAGTTGTGGAAAACGAAAAGGGCAGGTCCTACAACTTGTAAATGTTCTGAGTTACGAAACATTTACAATGGCTTTGGAACTGTGAGAATTGTTTGGAACCACGTTGGCTACATTTTAAGGTGTTTAATAATTCAGGTGAAAATAAATTGCTTTGCTGTATCTAGCTATTTATTCGTGAGTCGTTTCACCACTGACAGCTACAGCGCTGTTAGCGTGGATACATAAAAACAAATACAAGAACACGGTTAAGGAAATGCAGCAAATTCACTTCCAAGCGACTTTCTTTATTCCTTTTAAAACACAGCTTTGGATTACATGTCACCCATTCGAAACGTAGTTTTTTTAAGCTGCTGACATTCATTAGAGTTGAGCGCTAATAGGATGTGGCTGGGGACTTCGCGTTCCGATGTGCATCTGTCGCTGACAAGTGTTAACTCTGCCGCCGTATCGATCTTGCCTGTCTGTTGTTCAGCCTTGGATGGATTCCAGCCAGGGGCATCAGTGCTAGCCATGATTTTGCAAGCAAATTACGTCTCAACATTCACATGTAAGTTCTGACGCATAATAAGAAATGTATATTAACTTCGGTCGAAAAATCACATCGGAAGAAACCTAGATGGCTGAAATGTTTGGAGGACCAGTGAAAGGATGTTTATAATACGGTGATGCTCTTTCAGGTACCATTAGATAAGAAAGGAATATTTGGGCTGAGTAGGTCTTCTAATCAAGACAGAAGTCAATTAATTAATAATTCAAGTCTTGGTACAGAGAATGAAGTAAGGATAAATTACACTGGTTGACAGAGTAAGGAAAGTACTTACCACGTAAGGGACAGAACTGATTTTCTAAAACAGACACCTATTAAGAAATAGATGACAACAAGAAAGAAGCAGAGAAGCTAAAGAATTCAACACAGAGGTAGCCACAGAGCCCTAACAAGTGACATTTATACACCGTTTTTATAAGGAGAAAAAGAGCTGTGAGGATATATTCTGTATGTGTGTGCATGTTCTCTATAACTTATACCTCACTGTTCTGAAACTGAGGAGGAGGTTCATGCTAGGTCATATGATAACGCCGTTGTCTTTGATCTGAAACTGAGGAGGAGGTTCACGCTAGGTCATATGATAACGCCGTTGTCTTCAGATCGTAACTGATGCAGTATCACTGATGTAAGGTAAACATATTATGTAGGCCTACGCCCCTACACCGCAACATGATACGTAAAACAAACACTACGAAAACTGCTGACGTGAGAGGGCATTGTTACCAAAGATGGAAGGAGAGTGTAGAGAGAATGGAAGACACAAGATTACGGAAATGAGCTTGTACTATCGACCCAAATGGGAAAGAGATCTCGAAATGCCAATAATGGATAAACATGCCGACTCCTGTAACTTGCACGCATCAGCAGACCAAAACAGTAACAATAAAATGGTTTAAATGATCCCAATTGTGCGGCAGTAGGAGCAGTACCAGCGTCATTCGATAAATGATCCCAGAAACTTGGATGTTTATAGAGTTCCTCCGCAGTAAGGAAGGTCGTTTGTGTCTAAAGACTGAATAAAAAAGAATCGTGTCAACCGAAATGTGTTTACCGTTTGGTTGCACATAACCAAGTTACATTTTCTGCACGCGAGACTACAAACGAGTCTAGAAATGTTCTAGACCCTAGTGTAATTCCGTGTAACTGATATACAACAGAATTACTTTGGCGCTATTATTAGATATCATTCTGTTACAAAAGTAACATGTTTTATTAGATGAAGTCCAGTCAGATACATTTGTAATAATTCTCCGACTACAGGTCTAATTAATATAGACAAGGGTCTGATATGAGCTTTTACGTTACATGAACAAAGTGATACAACATTTACAGCACCATGTATCGGACTGGAAAAGATTAATCGAAACTGACACTAATGAGGCAGCAGATAACAAACTGTCATTATTTCGAATAAAAACCAACAGGCACTGCCCCGAGGCAGATTATAATGTCATTGCATTCCATGCGGGGCCAAATCTCATGTATTATTTTGCAGCATTCAGGTTTATCATCACCGTATAAATCTCTTTTGAATCCAGTTCGTCGTCACTACATGTATAAATCACTACACGGCTATGAACAAAAGAGAATGATTTTAAAAACAGGAACAGAATAAAAATAAAAGAGAATGACAAGGAAATAGAAGTAAGGCAAGTGACAATGGGTGTACAGATAAGTAAACTCTGCACATTATTGTAACTACATACATACACTTTATACATACTATTCTTTTACGTCCCACGGATGGATGGTGTGATAATGCCTTTTTATTCTGGGACTTTCACTTTTTACTTTGTCCGGAGATAGGGATTAGCTCTATCTAGTGGGCCCAACTGAGTAGGAACCTGAAGACGGAGATAGAGTCCCATCTCCGAAACGTCGTTTTACGTTTTATATTTACTAGACGATGGATAATATCCAAAAAAAAAAAATTCTATTGACTCTTCACCATCGTCAAGAAGTTTTAGATTTGATATTGTAACTACTGCTTGTTTTTGCACGAGGTATGAAGCTCTAATAGCGAATGTAGTGATAGAATAGGCCTACTGATGACATGTAACGCCTGCAGCAAAATGTTCAGACTACACGTTTCACACCGCTGTCGGAGAAGTTGCCGCAGTAAGTGTACTATCTCTGGAACTGAGTGTTCTCTTGAGTGAATTAGCTTTCTCCTTAGAGATGCAAAGTGATTCTTAAACGAGTCTTTAAGAACCGATCGGAACCACTACACTAGCAGGTAATTATGCATTAACTGGGCGAGTTTAAAAGTGCGCTGCAGTTTCTGGACAGTAATTCCTTCAGATGAACACCGGAGAAGCAGAAGTTCGGAAAGAAATAAACAATGAAAAAGGGACTGGTCGTGCTGCTACATTACTGTTCCGGAGGAACCACAAAATCTCCGGACACTGCCCCGTATTCTGCCCAAGGGTTTTACCCTGAGTGAAGAAAATATCTCAATCGGTCACGTTGAAACCTTATGAGTCCACAATAGTCACTTTCGAGAAAACTATAACAAATAACACGGTAGCAAATGCACTATTTATTTTACGCATGATTTATTTTTTCCGAAGAATAATCAGGAAGTATCTTAATGTTTGGATACACTTGTAATTTACTAACATACGTATTTCGTGGAGTTATAAGATAAACTTATTTTTGTAGTTATGAGTGCTCTTTTCCCTGATGGAGACACCAAGTACCTCGAAACGTTAGTAAACTTCTACAAGACTACCCGGCGCAACAACCCAGAAGACAGCCATCTTCATACTCGACGCCGTGAGAATATCAGGACTCACTAACTTTGAGCTTCGGTTTGAAATGCATGTAGGCAAGAAGTCGTCGTAATGCAATTGACTACATTTAAAACAAACACAACCTGAGGACTTGAACCCACGACTCCATGAGCTAAGGATCATGCTCACTGAGGTGCAACCTTACATGTTCTTGATTGGATAGTTTGTACGTCGTATTCGGTTAGAGAAACCGCATGATCAGAAGCAAAGTGATACTGACGTGCAGACTCCGTTACTGATGTCTGCTTTCACAATGTATAGCAACTCGACGCTTTTCATGGTGGAATTTCAAATTACCGCGAACATCAAGACAGAAGACCGAGACGAGAATCAATAGCGAGC